GTGCAAAGAACTACATCGGTGGTGCAGACGTGTGCGACGGAGGGAGCAGGGGAAAAGTATGTATGTGCATTGCATCTACGTGGGCCCGTGCACCTCGGGGTTACTGGCGTTAGCCTCACCTGGCACCCTCACACACCCCCGACGCCCGCCTCTTGCCCTCTCTTCCCCCTCCCCACTGTAGTTGCGTTGCAGTCATGGAAGTTCGGTGGTGTGCTCGGTGCACGCATTTGTCTCCCTGACTGGTCTCAGCAGGAGAAGTGACCAAATCATGCACACCGATACACACACACACACACACAGACGCCAGCAGCGCGAAAAAGTGAATTCGAAAGTTAAATCACAACAATAGAAAAAAAAAATGTATGTATGCATGTGTATGTAAAGTATGAAGGAAGAAAAATAACAATAGTAAACAAACAAGCATTCGTTGTGTGTTCATTTACGTGACGACATCTATTGACGCAGCTGGGTGTGTTCTATCTATGAGGATGCGCACGCACTGTACGCACGCATGCACGCATGCACGTCAAGGATGTATCTATAACGGTCAGCATCTACACAAGGGAGAAAAAATGCCTAATATACATATACATATGTATATATGCATACATGTATATGTGTGTCTATGTGTGTATGTATCTATGAAAGGGGCCGCAACGTCAGAGAGAAGCATGGCGGGCTGCGCCACGGCGTTATAGCCCAGCAATCGTCTTCAGCTCCCGCAGCACCTCGCCAAAGCGATTCTCTGAACCGTCTAGGCCGCATTCTATGCGTTCCTGCCGCAGTGCTTCACCGCGGGCAGTCAGCGCACTCTGCATCGCCTCCAGTGACCAGGTGCCGTTAAAGGAGAAGAGCTCCTCGTTGCCGCGCCGCTGCGGCCGGGAGATGACGCCGAGGTCCGCAAAGCTGTCGATCGCAGAGGCGATGCCCGCGGCATTCATCAGTGGAAACCGCTGCTGTCCCATAAGTGCGGTGTACATGCGGTGGACCTCACGCATCGCGAAGGTGCCTGGCTCCGTTATTCCGGCTGCGGCATCGCTTCTCGGGCGACGGGCCGCCGAAGTCGCGCCGGCCACATTTGTCTGCGCCAACTGCTTGTCCCGCTGCTGCCGCAGCGTCAAGACAACCAGGCAGCTGAGGACGTACAACATCTGCTCTGGCATGCCAGCCACGTACTCAAAAACGCGGTCACTCACGACGGCGGAGCCGCGCAACACCTTTTGACTCTGCGCGAGTGTCACGACAGCGGCAGGGGAGGCGGGTGAGGCATTACCGGGAGCGGCACCGGCGCGCGGGAGGCCGCTGCGACGCTTCGGCGTGGCCTCACTCTGCACCCCGCCCCGCCGGACTGGATCGTCGAGAATGCCCTGCTGCGCTGCGTGGACGAGGCGGCGACACATGGAGGCCACTTGGCGAACGTCGCCAGAGTATTCGTGAATGGCCTTCTTGGCAATGTAGGCTATCAATCCCGGGCTCAGCTGCACCTGCGCCCGCTCCTTCTGCGTGAAGTCCGCGCCGGCGACGATACTGGCACCAATGCGCTCTAGCGTCCGCGCACTGTAGGCCTCAAAGGAGAGCTCCTTCAGTAGGGTGCATGGGACGTGCACCAACTCACGCTGATTTGAGATGAACACAAGCGCCAACAGCGACGCCTGTTCGACGGCGAGTGCAGCCAAGGCACTTAATAGGCCACGGGCCCCGGCCCGCACGTATTCCACCTCATCCAGAGCCAGAACATGCAGCGGCGCCTTCAGCGTGGATTTCTTCACAGTTGTGGGTTTTGTGGCTTGTTCTTCCACAGCTTCCTGCGGGAGGCGTTCCCGGGCCGCGTCAGACCCTGACCCACGACGACGCTTCGACGGGGTGGAGGTTTGGGGAAGGGCCTCAATGTGGCCCAGTAGACTCCGTGACTGTGCATCTAAGCGCGGTTGTGCCGCGCGAAAGCTGCCGGCGATGGCATCGCACAGCTGCTGCGAGGCCATATCGGCACAGTTGACGTAGTGGCACTGTACGCGACGGCTGGCTCCCAGCAGCCGCAGAGTGGCAGCCGCCCACGAGGAAGACGCGGTGGCGTCATCACCGCAAGGCAACGCCGCCCCAAGGCTTCCCGACACTCGACCCATGGCCGCATCTTCTACACTGTCCAGGCTGCCAGCATGGCCAGCGTCAGTGCGGCATCGTTTGGCCGGCCTTCGCTTTTCTATTGCCGGGGAAGGCGACTTGTCGTCGGCGCCGTTACTTTTGCCGCTGCCGCTGCTGCCACAACTGCCGCGTCCCCCCGCACTTGGCCGCCCAGCCGCCTTGTCGCACGCCATCGGGCGGCTTGACACGCACCGCATCGCACGAAGAATGGTTGAGGTCTTACCGCAGCCACAGGCGCCGAAGACAAAGAGGGAGCGGCAGTGCGAGAGCAGTAATCGCTCTTCAATGAATTCGTGCACGGCGTTGTACTCCTCCTCGCGGCCCAACAGCGGTTCCCTCTCCATCGCCTCCTTGCAGTGCAAGTTAACAGTCTGTAATGAAAACCTCTACGGTAATCACCGTGGAAGCTCTGTTTTATTTTATTATTATTTTATCTGCGCCCACCGCTCTCTGTCGGCAGTCGTTTTGTCTATCCCCGCAACGGATTCGGGCAAAGTCTATCTGTTCTGTTGCCTCTATGCAGAAACAAAAGAAAAATCTTAATATGTGTGCCTGTGGAGATGCGTCGGCGGTAAATCTATGACGGTGGGTTGTCTGTGCCGCGTCGTCGGTCTATCGCTGCTGCGGCGTCCGCCTCAACGTGTGTCTTGGTGCCGGCGTGAGAGGCGGCGGAGGCGGGTGAAGCGAGCGAGAGAGAAAGAGGAAGTCCATTTTGCAGCCACCCCGGCGCAGAGAAACAAAGAACAGAAACGAAACAAAAAGAGAGAGAGAGAACAAAAGAAAAAAAAGGCCGTCATTATAAACACTTCGTCCTCGTCCTCGTCTCACACTCGCCCCGGCTTCCGTGCTTCTCAAGGCGCTCATGCAGATATGGGCCTAATTTTCTCTTTGTGTGTGTGTGTGTGTGTGTGTTTGCTGTTGCGCCTGTCCCTGCCTCTTCTTCTCTGCTGTTTTATTTATGTACTTCGTCTTT